AACTTCATGGCTATTGGAATAGTTCTTATTAAAAAAAAAAAAATTGGTATGAGTTGCATTTTATCTTCAACAACTTTAGGCAACAAGCTTCATGAAATAGTTCAGACAAATTGTAAGTTTCTCTTCCACACATTTTATTAATTCAGAAGTAGGAGTTCCTTCAAACTCCCCACCTTAGCACAAGCGGTCAGTCCTACTTAAATGCAATTTGAATTGCAGTCCATAGATCCCGTACGTATACGAGAAGACGCACAGGCATGGTCCCACACTCCCCCTCTTTTCCACGATGATCCTTACAATTATGCAATTCAAAACCAAGAGGGCCAAGGTGGGGATAAATCTAGTGGAAGTTCACGAGGAGACAGAGACCAAAAGCAGAGGGTCCATTCTATCTCTAGTTGATTGAGAAATCAGTGGACACACAAAACAACCATAAGAACTTGCAATAAATGAATTTGCACAAGCTCAATCTATTTCATTTCATTGCATGAATGAATCAAACATAGCAAGAGACAAAAAAACCAAGAAGCACGAAAAGGAAATGCACATGAAACATCTTTTGAGAAAGAATTATCAATGCCAGCTAGCAAACACATTCATACACACAAATCGATTAGTTATTCCAGAGTAGATTAACCATATACAATGACTATGTCTCATCAAATAGAATGGGTACGCGCTGTTGACATATGATTTCTATCCAGTAGAGATAATCAAAACATAAAGTTTGTTATCAATAATCAAAACTAGAAATCGAATTAACCAAATGAAAAATGCAAGAATAACACTTCTCTATTCAAATTCACGTTCGGAAACAAAGATAGATTAATGGGGCCCAGATCAATAACCTAAGGCAACAAGGTAACCAGGGGCGGAGCCCAATAAGGCCCAGGGTAGGCACAGGCCCACCCTGAACTTCTGGGCTCAAATTTTTTTTTTAGTTATAGGCTAAGTCCCAGCTCAAGAGAGAAAGCCCAAAATATCAATATATTATACCCAACTGTCCAAGCCCAATCCAAATCCCAAAAATTTAAACCTCGTTCACAAATCACAACTCCATCCTCTGCTCCACTTCGTAGCCTGAAGCCTCCACTTCGCCTCCACAGTTCCACTTCCCAGCTTGAAGCCTGAACTGAAGCCCTCCACTTCGTAGCCTCCACTTCGCACGCGGCACGCAGCCTCTGTCCGAGTCTCGAAAATATAGAAAACATGGAAGATTTCAGATTTGGATTAGATTCGAATGGTGGAGCATTTGATAGGTTGAGAGAGAGAAGAGGGGTTTTTTTTTACCTGCTTCGCCTCCGTGCGAGGGTCCGGACGATTTTTCTACTTCATCCTTCGACAATCGGCTACAGTAAACTACTATAAGTTTGATTTTAGCTTGGGTCTTTTCGATTATACTAGCTTGGGTCTTTTCCCCTTTTTGTTTGATTTTAGCTTGGGTCGTTTTATATGATTTTGGTGTTTTTGAATACATATTTGTGATTTGATTGTTATAAGTTGCACATATTCAGGTTCAATTGTGTAGAATTTTGCACTCTGTGTTTTGCTTTTTCCATAAATGATAAACCGTTTGAATGGGACACCGTGGTGGAC